TTTATCTTCCTCTGTGTCTTGAGTGCTGGGATTAAAGGTGTCTGCCACCACTGCCTATCCTCTATGGTTAACTAGTGGCTTAGGTGTGTAGCAAACTAGGGGCTTAGCTCTTAACTAGGTGTGTGGTTAATTAGTGGCTTAGCTTTGCATTCTCATCTTCAAGGAAAGTTTATTTATTAGATCATAAACAAAATATCACCACAAGCTACTGTTGGCTGGTTCACACAATACAATGTAGAAAAAATTAAGTTTGCAGGTCAGGCAAGTTTTATGGATCAGGAAGCTCTGGGGGCATTTTCAGGATACTGGCTCAGGGAACTTTTGTGTGGAAAAGCTAATAACAATACTGATATGCCCAGTTTGTTTTACAGGGATATTGGCAAATAAACATATGATACAAATTTCATTCTGATTGGTGAGAATATGACTAAGTGTCACAGGAATGGAACTCTATTATTTTCTCTAGGAGCTTGATATTTATTAACTCTATACAGCAACTCTACAGAATACACCCACAGTGAGTAATTAAAACCATCCATATCTGATCAAAACAAGATCCACTAGAAGGACACAGGACCTGAGGAGAAACAACCTGAAATATTATTTATTTGCAGCTTAAGGAACTGGAAACCTTCAGAAATGATTAAGTTAAGTGGCCAACATATACTTGGAATCTTTACGTCTCCAACATTTAGGAGGTTATGTATGCAATAAGGCTAATGTCATCATAGGTAATTAAAGAGTACTTATTGCTAATATAACATCATACCTCCCAGAGGTAATTGATATCACATTTTATTATGGTAATAGGAGGCACTCTAATGTAATGAAGAACAAAACTATAAATATTGGAAAACAAAAATACTACTATCATTAATTTCCAACAGACTATCTACAAATAGATTATTACAATGCTATCAATGTTCATGGGTTCAAAGACTCATCTAGAATTAGTGATTTCTCCAAATTAATACATGAACATGGATAGCCTTTCATTTCTGTAAGGTAATGTTTTCTTAATGTTTTTAAATACTGTTTTATTGTTTCCTTTGCCAGACATCTTTGTTTTGGTGCCAGACAGCTTTGTCTTGGGGTTACTATTGCTATGATGAAACAACATGACCAAAAGCAAGTTGGGGAAGAAACAATTTTATTTGGCTTATGCTTTTATATCACTGCTTCTCACTGAAGGAGTCAGGACATGAATTTTAAACAGGGCAGGATGCTGGAGGCAGGAGCTGATGCACAGACCATGGCAGAGTGTCACTTATTTATTGGCTTGTTCTTCTTGGCTTACTCAGTCTGCTTTCTTATAGAACTATCAGCCCAGGGATGGCACCACCCACAATGGGCTTGGCCTTTCCACATCAATCACTAATTAAGAAACTGCTGTAAGGCTTACCTACAGCCCAATCTTATGGAAGCACTTTCTTCTTTTTTTTTTTATAGCTAAAATTATTTTTATCACTATGTATTCACAGAATTCAACCAATGGTTATACATTGCAAAGTGATGTTTAATGATTAAGAGAAGTTTTGTTTTGTAAAGGCAAATATTTTGATCTCATAATTTTTAAGAATCATTGAATAGTTGATTCCTTTTCAGTCTCATAAAAAATAAATTACTGCAATTACTTACCTTCAGAATGAAACCATGGCATGTTGTCTATGTACCCTTCAAGTACTTTCTTATTTTTTAAATTTAAATGATTTTATTACTGTTGTTATTTTTTTACATGTCAACTGCAGTTTTCCCTTCTTCCTCTCGTGCCAGGCCCCCCCTCCCTCCCACCTCCCCTCTGCCTCTCCCATCCACTCCTTCTCTTTCCATTCAGAAAAGGGCAGGAGACATGCTCTTAATTGAGGTTCCCTCCTCTTATATGACTATAGTTTGTGTAAACTTGACACAAAACTATTCAACATTGTCTTCAATATCTGTTGGATTTATTCTTAGGCAGTTTGTTTTTTCTACTGTTAGTTAAATCATTTTTAAAATTGGCTTTGTGTTGACGCAGATTTTACTTTTATAAGTAGCATTGTGAACCAATCCCAACAACAGCTCAATTTAGGGATGAGTACACTGATAGTTGGTTTCAACTTTATATGCAAATGCAAAGGCTCAGGAATGGTTGGCTGAGTCATTTGAACTAGGAGAGAAGCTACAAATCACTCTGAAAAGCCGGTGTCTTTCTTTAAACTTTGTTTTTAAATGCTGCTTTCCCTGTTCCCAAATAGATATAAGCTCCTTGAAAGTAGGGTCTTCCACCCCCCCCCCACTTGTTTTTATGTTCCTAACACCTGATACAAAGTCCAGTGCACAATAAATTAGCACTAACATCTCTGAACTCACAGTAACTGTGTATAAACCCTGCACTAAAATTTGCAGTAAAAGCATTCTCTTTCCAGAATGTCTGTTTCTTTAAAGGCTTTAGAACACTCACCACCCATTGCTTAGTTTTTACAGGTGAGCTGGTTTGCAAAGGGCATGACATCACTCCAGTGTTGACCTAGAAAGATATTCTAAGCCCAAATGACTCCATTCTATCCTAATTGCATGCCAAGTAGCAAGGTCAGAAAGGGCAAACACTATAAATTAATAATCATACCTCAGAAACAGGGTGATGACACATCCAGGAAAATTCATTCTTCAATGGCCAAAGGCAGGAAGATAAAAGAATTCCCATGTTCAAACATGCACAGAAGTTTGTGGTGTTTTGCTCAGGCTCTTGACTGCTACCCGTGTGTACTTTGTAGTCTGACATTCCCCATGATGTGAGAGTCTACCTTTTACATTTCAGCTCCATCTGGGTTTGTAGTAGTGGTAGAACATTTGCCTGACATACATGAGGCCCAATACCTAGCTCTACAAAACAAACACCCCACAAATAAGCTTCAGAACCATGAGCCTCTCTCTTGCTTCCAACTTTCTTACCTAGCTTAAGGTTACCTGGGTAGAATGGCAAGTGCTACCATACACCAGAGACTTTACAAGATTTTTTGTTTTGTTTTGTTTTTCTACTGGGCTTAAAATTTGAGTCTAGCATGACTTCCTCAAGTGCTAAGAGACTTCTGGTAAGCTGTGCATTCCTTTGCAACATTGAGCCCTCCTTTGAAAATGAACATGATTTTACTATATCAGAATATTTTCTCCTCTCTGTTCAGAATGTGAACCAAAGCAACCTGCAATTAAAAACAATTATTTTTATTGACATGTGTATATGCAACATAACTATAGGTGACTGTGGGAACCAGAAGCTGGAGTTCCAGGCAGTTGTGAGAAGCCCAAGGTAGTTGCTGAGAACCAAACTTTTCTGCAAGTATAGTACACTGAGCTGTCTTTACAGAACAGCTGTCCACAGCCTGTAGCTTAGAGTAATTGGAATTTATTTTTCAATCTCATATACATTATTTCAGGGGTGAGAGGAATTTCAGTTTTGTTAAGCAGGTACAAAAACTCCTCATGTACACATATAGGGTTTATGGATTAAGGTGAGGAAGGTAGGCTGCCGCCTGATAGAGCTCTGCTGGGGTTCCCACATGTAATATTTTCCACATTTGGCTAATTTTTAATATGACCTCTCGTAGTTGGTACTGGGTATGACACATCAGCTACATCAATCTGTGGGTTATCCTAAAACCAAATGCTAATACCAGTCTAGCAAGCATTGCCCAAATTTGCCCCTACTCTCACATCTACCTTACATATACATAGAGAAACAATAATTACATTGCAAGGGTCAGAAGGCAGATCTTCCTCTTAAGATTTTTTTTTCTAAGACAAGGTTTCTTTATGTAGCCTTGGCTGTCCTAGAACTTGCTCTGTAGACCAGGCTGGCCTCAAAGTGAGAGATCTACCTGTCTCTGCCTCTCAAGTGCTGGGATTAAAGGCTTGCACCATCACCTCTCTGTTTAAGAAACTCTTTGGGAGGTGGTTTTCATTTTGTTTTGGTCAGGAATCTCAGGCAAGTTAGGAGTTTATTTGGTCAGGAAGCCACAAGGACTAAGGTGTTTTTTTTTTTTTTTTTTTTTTTTTTTTTGGACTAAGAATGACCTACTGGGATTCCTATTCAAAGATAGCAACTCACATGTAACTAAATACTGATCATTATTCCTGAAAGCACAGTGGCCATCAAAAGAAAACTAAAATCAGTAGGACTCCCTAGGCTTAGTGGGGGACAAATGGTTCTTCTCCAATCAACCACACTGTTTTCAATTCAAACTTTAATGCTTGATCAGTAAGAATGGTAATACCAAACAAAAGCTTACACACAAACATTTGAAATTTTTAAATTTTGTATATGAATGTATGTGCCCTCATGCTATTGCATTCATGAATGTCAGAAGAAAACTTGCAGGAGTCAGTTCTCTCCTTCCACCATGTAGGTTCTAGAATCAGACTAAGGTCATCAGTTTGGTACTAAGCTCCTTAATTTGCGACCTATTTCCCTAGCCCAAGGTAAATGCTTAAACTCTTTCCTTTCATTATACTAACAATTATGGAGTATGACTTGTGAGTATGATATACGAGTGTGGGCATGGCCAGCCAGTTTGGTTGCCATGAGAACTTTTGGGAGGTGTTTCTGGCCCTCCACCTTATCTGAAGGTTTCTTCTTTCTGTAGTTGTGCTGTGTATTCCAGGTACTGGAACTTCTGCATGGAGCAACTCTCCTGCCGTTGCCTCCATTCTCAACACAGGGAAGCTGGTACAACAGATGCTGGTTATACCTGACATCTGGCTTTCTTAATGTGGGTTCTGAAGATCTGAACTTAAGTGCTTTTACTGAATCATCTCCCTGTCTCCTGGAATATGATTTACATAAAAACAACAACAACACAAAAAAAACTAAAACCTTATGAGTTGTGAAAATGAGTTCTAAAGAGAGAGGAAAGTGACTTCCAGAGGCTTGGGCACAATGATGGACTTTTCTTCAGTATTTCAGGGGAGGACATATTGATGTATTGCTTTTGTTATAACTCCTGATGCAAAGGCTTCTAGAATACCTTCAGCACAGACATCATTGCTGACATTTTCTTTTGGCATGTACTTTCTGATGTTTGGTAAGATTTGAGCATCTTCGGAAAGCTTTCCCACACTCCTCACACTCATAGGGTTTTTCTCCAGTGTGGATTCTCTGGTGATGAACAAGAGTTTGAATCTGACTGAATGCTTTTCCACATTCTCCACACTCATATGGTTTTTCTCCAGAGTGAATCCTCTGGTGATTAGTAAGGGCTGAGTTCACATTGAAGGCTTTGCCACACTCCTTACACTTATATGGCTTCTCTCCTGTATGGATTCTCTGGTGTTTGATGAGGGCTGAGCTCACACTGAAAGTTTTCCCACACTCATCACATTCAAATGGCTTCTCACCTGTGTGTAATCGCTGATGTTTGGTGAGGTCTGAGCGCACACTGAATGCTTTCCCACACTCATCACACTCAAATGGCTTCTCACCTGTGTGTACTCTCTGATGTTTGGTGAGGTCTGAGCGCACACTGAATGCTTTCCCACATTCTCTGCAGTCATACGGCTTCTCTCCGTTGTGAACTCTCTGGTGAATAACCAGGTGTCCTCTCACACTAAAGCCTTTCTTACACTTGTCACAGATGTAGGGTTTCTCTCCAGTGTGGACTCTTTCATGCACAGTGAGGGTTGACCGTGCACCGAAGGCTTTTCCACAATGATCACACTCATAGGGTTTTTCTCCAGTGTGAATTCTCTGATGTCGAACAAGAACTGAGTTCTGGGTAAATATCTTTCCACATTCATTGCATTTATGCCGTCTCCTCTCTGTGCACCGGCCTTTATAATTTTCTAACTGGTCCTGATACTGAGGGACTTTTTCATTCACAGGAATCTGTAAAGAATCCTTAGTACGCATGTTAGAGACCTTTGGATCTGGGCCCATTCTTACAAACTCTTCTTTCAAAGTTAATGTCTTGCTTACAACACTGGTCTTGATTCCTGAAATAAGAAACATTTGTTTTGTTTTTTTTTTTCTTCAAAATACTTTACGAAGTGTAGGTAAGGCACTGTGTGATACAGACTTAAATAGAACTCGTTCAAACATCTGTTCAGTAATCCAAGGACACACCAACTAAATACAAGCCAGGTCACAGATGCAATGTTTTCATTCCCTGCATCAAGATAGCCACACCACAGAACTACCAGAATGAATAGTTGATGTGAACAGCTATTTATATCTGTCTTCTTTAAAGGCATCTAAAACAATCCAGAGTACACGTGAACATAAAACTAATGTATATGGGTTTGGGACACAGCTCAGTGGTGCAGCTCTTGCTTAATGGGCACATGCCTTGGGTTTGAACTACGGCATTGGAAAAAAAATAATGTATAGTTTGTACTTTACAAAACACTTAAATCACATTAAAATAAATTTAAGACAAAATAGATGTTGAAGAGATTAGCAAATGGGATAGACAAAGGAGAGCAGAACAAAGATGAAAGTCAGTTTAAATTTGGAAAAAAAGATAGGACAACATCACGAACAGAAATGTGTACCACCTGGCAGTCCCATCATTTCAGCTATAGGGGGTTTCTGGGAGACCCTTGGTTCATTTTAACATGATGGTCCATTGTAACACTACCCTTGTAGTGGCTGCTGACGCTATGAAAACCAGTATCTTAGCAAAAAGGGTTGTGTTGTCCCACATGAAAACTGTTACAGTGTAAAACGCTTTATTAGTTTACTATTCCATCTTTACAATTCAAATCATGCAAAGAATGTGGACTGCTACCAGTCTCATCCCTTGAAAGCCAACCTAATTTGGCCTCCAAACTCTAGTTATAATAATTGTCCTCCTGTCTTTTTCCATGTTACAGATAGTCTCTACAGTGGCAATATGCATCTCTGCCAGTATACATCTTCAAACGATACCATGAAAAACGACAGTTCAGTAAAACAATAACATTAAATTTCCATTGAGTCACATTTTACAAAAATGAACACAAACCAACCAGAGGAGGACCCCAGAAGAGAGACAAAATCAGGCTTCTATGCGCTCACCCCTCCGGAAATTCAGTGTTGAGCACAACCAGCCTGTCGCTCCACAGACTGCTTGCAGTTCTGAGGTCCAGGCGGCACAGGACTGCGGCTCGACCCAGAGCCAGCCTCGCCCCGACCTCGCCAAGGTGGGGCGCCAGCTTTGTTTGTGCCGAGGAGGGGAAATGGAGAGGTGAGGGGCTCCCGTGAGAACAGGGCCAGAGGAGCAAAGCAAAAACGCATTTGTCCTCTGTAATACCCAGAAGCTAACCAGGGGCAAACAAATTCACTAGGAGACTGACTGAGAAGAACAGCTGCCAGGCTAGAGAGGCCCCGCTCGGCCCACTTGCACCCAAATGGTTGGTGCTCTCTAGGACGCCGGAGGTTTTCTTCTCTGTGGTCAGTAAACTTGGACCAGGAGGTAATGATTGCACAGAACGTCTTTGAGAACATTTTGTTTCTTTAATCACGCAGAGAAGACAATAAAATACTCTTCTAAAGTATAAGAAAACTAGAAGTAAATGTTCAGATATAATTTTGAACCTGAATTTTGTCTCCCAGGTTGGTCACGTCTAGGGCATAGGACTCAGTAAAAAAAATTCAGAATTAGTTTGCAGTGGCTGAGGATGTAGATAGACCAGGGATGGAGTGTTTGCCTAGCTAGTACCAGGCCTTGGATTTCACCCTTAGCATAGAACAACAATTTGTAAATTTAAATAGTATTCCTCCCAAACTGCCAACTCTTTTGAAGTAGACTTTAACATTCACAGAGAAAATAAAACTAGGAACACAGAAAAAAAAGGGGGGGGCTATCTTAAAAGCTGAAAAGCATATATAAAGCCATTAGCATCGATAGTGTCAAGGCAAACAAATAGTCCAGAAATGGATGTGATGAAAACTAAAAAATAAGAAAAACAATGATCTTCAATAAGCTTATAAGAATAAATGGAAAGACATCAAACTGGATCCCTACTCCATAAACAGTAAGCATTCTCAATAAGTCAAGGCCATTAATGTAAAAAATAAAACCATAAAATTATCAGAGGATAATGTGAGAGACACCTTTTATAATTTCAGAGCAGAAAGGCTACTGTACATTACGAAGCCAATCCAGAGGACCTGATTGAAAGGATGAAGTTCCTGAAGAACCAAAGTTACTGACTGATGTCTCACAATCAGGCTGGATTCCTTTCAGTTCCAGCTTCATTCTGAGCAGACTCTACCAAGCACTCAGGACATACGTGCTGACTAGATGAAATGATAGGGTTTCTTTTGTATTTTAAGTCTTAGGCTGGGGAAGTCATTTGGTTTCACAATAATTGCTAGAGTTTAATGGTTTGATCAACAGCATGAAAGAAAACACCTTCAAAAACAAAAGTCAGAAAATGATTCCAGGACTTGAGGAAGACTTCAGAATGTCAAAGACTAGCACTTATAACTCCCATGTAAGGAAACATTGTAACTGACATCTCAGCATACTTTACTAGAGAAAACTGGAAAGGTAGTGTATTTGTAAGCTTTTGTTGTTGTGATAAAACACCATGTCCAAAGGTCCTGGTTAGTGGGGTTTTTTTTTTTTTTGTTTGTTTATTTTTCAACTTGGCACAAGCTAGGGTTATTAGAGAAGAGGGAACCATAGTGAGAAAATGCCTCCATAAGACTGGAATGTTGGCAAGTCCTTGGGGACATTTTCTTACTTAGTGATAGATGCAGGAGGGCTCAGCCCACTGAGGAGGTGGTTTGGGTTGTATAAAAAAAAGCAGGAAGGGCAAGACATGAGGGGCAAGGCAGAAAGCAGCACCACTCTGTAGTTTCTGCATCAGCCTCCAGGTTCCTATTTTGAGTCCCTGCTATGTCTCATGGCATGGGCTTAAATCATGAGCCCTCAGTGATGGAGTATGACCTGAGAATTTTAAGCTGAAATAGACCCTTTCACCACAAGGTTGCTTTTTGTCATTGTGTTTTATTGCAGCAATAGTAGTTTAACACACCGAGGCAACCTTAGGAGGAAGGATTTATTTGGGCTTACAGTTACAGAGGATTAAGAGTCTGCCATGGGAGGGATGAATGGCAACAAGCAGCAGGCTGAAGCAAGATGCTGAAAGCTAATATCTTGAACCACAAACAGGAAACAGAGAGCAAACTAGCAATGGTGTGATTCTTCAAACTCTCAAAGCTTGCCTCTGGTGACATACTTCCTTCAGTAAGGCTACACCTCTTACACCAACTTAAACAGTGTCACCAAGTATTAAAATGTCTAGGACTATGGGAGATAACTCATGCAAACCACTCTGATAGTTTTTCTCTTAGCTTTGAGAGCTGACATTTCTTGACAGGTGATCTTCTAAGAGTGTGTAAGATCAGGAACTTAGAAGAAGTAAGCATGGATTTATGAAGGGATCAGTGTAGAAACCAATAAATCAGAAAGCAGGACAGGTCATCCCAGGGACATAAGGAGAGCAAGAAATAATCACAAGGAATATATGAATATACTTCTATTATCAAATATATTCATGTATTCCTCTGATTTCCCATTTGTGGTTAAGGAAATAGAGTCACAGAGAGATTTACTGACTTAGTCAAAATCATAGGCAATTGTGGGAGGCTTCTCCAATGAGTCAGCTAGGATACCCAAGTAGGGGCGAAAGGATTGAGAAAAGATAAAAAGAAACAGACAGAAACACAGGGTAGATTCAGGAGGACTACCAGTGCATGTTTTTTTTATCACACCAGACAGCCCTGAGTTTAATTAATAACCTGCTTATATACAGACTAGAGGCAAAGCAGAACAAAGAGCAGCATGGTAAATTAACCACCTTCCTGCACTGTCCTTGAATTGAGGAGCAGCCAGGCTTTCTATCTATCACGTGCATCCTGCTAGCAGCAAGCAGCCTCCCTATCTCTATGTGCCTTTCAGCTGGCATCAGAAGCTTGTTATTGAGATAATATGCTCTTTCCCATGGTCTTAATCAGAACTTTCTCACAGCTCTCAAGGAGAGCAAGCTTGAACTCTATTGTTTTATGAGTCAGAATGTACTCCAGATGAAAACTGAGTCGCTTTGTGGGCTCCCACAGGTAATTTGGAGTTACATTCCAAAATATTGGGTGGGGGGAGATGATGAGACATGGATAGGAGTGTCAAGAGAATTCCTATGACATCACCAATTGTTTCAATTTGTTTTTAAATAGGGTCCCACTTCGTAGCCCTGGCTGAACTCAGAGACTTCTGCCTACTCTTCCTCCCCAGTGCTGAGATGAATGCATGTGTGCACAATGCCCAGCCATGACACAAGTTTTAAGACAGTAAGTACACATTCCTTCCTGGCTACTGTATTGGTTCATCTAACTCCTCAAGGTTCATACAGTTTGCCCCTCTCCCACTTCCTCCCCCCACTTCTCCAGTCATTTTTCTTCCTTTCTCATTACTGGTCCTCTTCAGGCTGTTGAAGTGTTTACAGTGTTGGCCCCAAGTTATATTATTAATAGAATCATTGGGTCCACTGAAAGCAGTCTTTCTGTAACATGCTGCCACATAGTGTCTTAACACTGGAGAGCAATTCACTGACTCCTTTGGGGGGGGATCTTCAAGACTTTTGTAGGGAAAAAGCATTATTTTATTAAAATAATACAGACTGCCAAAATTGCTACCCTAACTACAAGGTATCATAGGAGGAAAATGCACAATGTCAAATACAGGGCAAGTATGCTAAGGACAATGAGTAATATTCTGGAGGAGCAGGTGGGAACTGGCACCTCCTTACCATGCCTTTGCTGCCAATGCTGCTGCAGAAGGTGGAGAAGCATCAATAGGTTTGCATCAGATCCTGAAAGATGGACCTGGTGTGGATGGAGGCAACTGCTATAGTAAATGGTGAGCTATTACTAAAAAGCTGAAATAAACAAGTCTATTCATTCAAAAGGGAACAGCATGGACACTGTAAGCATAGGTGGAAGAAGCAAGTATCTCCTGGATTTAGAGCACCTGAAATTATTTCCCCATTATTTGCACCCACTCTACCCCTGCCTTGCCCTGCTGTGCACTTTGGTTTGGAGAAGCAACTTATGGATAGTTCGATGGAGCACACTTGCAGTGAAGACACACTGATGATGGTAAGAAAAATTAGGACTGCGTTCCTAAGAGGGAAGCAACTCCATCTCATGGCAGCAGTGGATATTGAGGAATCTCTTTTCCTTAGAAGGGTGCATTTGGGTGCAGTTTCCATATCTCTTGCTGTCTGGGGATCCTGCTTGTGGCCTATTCATCTGAGGTGACATATAGCGAACTCCCTCCAAATTCTATTGGGAAGCATCTAGTCTTTGTGTGAGGCTGCAATCTCAGTTCTTCTTGGGAGGGACCAGGTGCCTCAAAAGCTGGGGCAAGACCTGACTTTGCCCTGGATTAGTTCAGAGTATGGACACATGAGCTCTGGTCTTAGGAGTGATCTTGTGTGCTCCTTTAAAATCTAGAGACCATACACAAGTAAAATGTTTGGCTTACTGCAAAGATTCTCAGGCCACTTTTTAAAGGAATTTGCTTAAGCCAGGAATGGTGGTGCATGCCTTTCATCAGAGTACTTGGGAGGCAGAGGCAGGTGGATCTCTGAGAGGTCAAGACCAGCCTGATCTATACAGAGAATTCCAGAACAGCCAGGGTTGTTAAACAGAGAAATCTGTCTTAAAAAAAAAAATTAGCTTAAGACATTATTACAGCCAATATGCTGGTTTGGACATACAAGCTGGTAAAAAGAATAATTTTTAAAGTGAAATACTTAGGTGGAGTCTTCATCCCTTGGTAGAGTATGGTTTAAAACATACAGTATACTTACTGGATGATTTAGTGCAAGCCAGTTAGCTTCTCTGGCCCTTCAATGTCAGAACGGGTTGACAAACTAATTGATACAGCACCCTTCTTTAGACTTTGACTACTTCAACACAACAGAGAAATACCACTTTTTGGTGAGTTAAAAAGCAGCTGATTTGCAAACCCTGGAGTTGATCCTTTCTTACTTACTTAAGGATGTACCACTGAACTGCAAATCGAGACTGTAGTGTTTTCAAATGCAGGTTTAGGGAATCACATTTCCTTAGATATGTCTTCTAAGTAGGATTGATATAATAGAGTATATAAAACTTTAGGACTGAGTTCTGCTTGAAAACAGAACATCCTAGTTCACAGTTGTCCTGGGCAAATAATAATTCGGTCTAGTGGCCACCAAAGAGTATGTTTGTTGCCATGTTGTTCCCAAAGCT